TAAGACTTAAAACAAAGGGGTCTTCCCCCTCTCATTCGCCCAAGAGGCACTTCATTTATGGTTGGGTCATACATAAATTGTTTATTAGAGAATCAATGGTACTTACGATGTAAGATGTAATTAAAGGAGTAAAACGAACTTTTCACCCAGTTGTAATTATAAACAATTCGTAAAATATTGATTTGTTTATAATTATTATATCAATAGACACAACTTGCCCTATAGTGCATAAGAATGTTACTATAGGTCTACCGTGGTTAAGGAATGAAAATTGTTCCATTAATTAATTTGATATCATTGTAGGTTTATAAAATCTAATATACTTTTTCTCTTTTGTATTTAATACATCTAATATATTAAATAATGATTCAGAGAACTTCAAATTAAATGTATTTTTATCATTTATATTTAATATATTTAATTTATTAAGTATTAATTTCAACTCTTTATATTTAATATATTATAGATAGTAAATATAAAAATATATATATATATTTTAAGGGAGATACATTAAATAAAAAAAAATAGTTAAAATTTGAATAAGATTCAAATGAGTTAAATATATTTTGAAATATTTTGTGACATTTAAATATGATTTAAACAAGAAATTATACCTTAATTTATTAGAAATCTAAATATATTATCGGTAAAAACTTCTGCCAAATTACCTATTAATTGGACATTGTGTTGAGCAAAAAAAAAAAAAAAAAATTCATTGCAATTTTTTGTTCGTGGGAATTCAACTCTCCTTCTTCAATAGCTCTAGAATTTTCTTTCGAGGGACTTTTATAAGTCTTGGCTTTGTGTTAAGTTATGACAAGAAAAATCTCGCGGAAGAACTTTTATGGAATGAAATACACTAAAGAGACTTATAAGATACAATTTTTACAATGGTGAAGTTCATGATCTCATATTATTTGCTTTTTTTTAATTCTTAATAAAATCAAAATGGCTATCAATATTTTAAGTAGAATGATGAATAGTTCATTCCCTTCATTTTTCAACTTTTGATTCCTTCTTGAACGTGCTAGATTTCCTTCCTCTCAACCTACGAGACCAAATCAGACTTAGAAACGGTCTATGGAAGAATTTTGAGGAAAAAATAATAGAAATACCAAAAAAAAAAAAAAAACTTTGAATTTGTGCATTTCTTTTGTCCTCGTGAAAAATGGTCAAAGGAGTGTCTTGTCCTTGCTTTCCTCTCTTTCTAATGAGACTAAGTAGGGACACTAATTTGGTATGTGGAGAGAGTACACAAGGTTTGAAATTTGTATATGGCCTTTGTCTTGGATGCCCAAAAATGGAAGGAGAGATAGACCCCTTGTCATTATAGCTCTTATTTTGGTAGTAGATTTGCGAGTGTCTTGTGATTGTGCGGCACTCGCTTCTCAACAACAAATGAGTTAAGTTAATTCGTTTGCGCGTCACCTACGACCAGACAATGTATGCTCAAACCTCTGGCCTAGATTTAAGAGAAAAGTTTTAGAAAACGGGGGTAAAGAGATTTTCGAAGGAGAGTTTGAAAGCAAGATTTAGTGAGAGATTAAAAACGATGTTTTATAGCATGCAAGCAAAGGAAACAACAACGGCTTAACCATATGTAACTATTCAGGTAGGGAGTGTGTTTCCATCCATTTAGCCGCCCCCACTTGGCCAAGTGGCCAAATGATCATCCTTTGTGATTATCCCTCCATTTTTCTTTTAAATTTTAACCCAAAAATTTGTAATTATCCATTACCACACTTGAGTATGGAATTTAAATTGCTAACTTTGACATTCAAAACTAATTTTCTCATTTTAAGGTTGTTTTCCCAAAATTACCTCTTTGTAAGGTTCTTTTTTCAAATTTAGCTAAACATCAGAGTTATATGGACAATTTGAATGGTAGGTGGTAAAATTTTCAATTTTACCTTCTTAAAGTTATTTTTTCAAAACTACTCTTTAGACGAACAATTTTTTCAAATTTGTTCATTACTTGCATGTCAAACTTTAACACCATATAACTCATTATTATCATAATCTTTCCTATAAATTGATATTACACGTATATGAGTTTGTCTAGACAGTAGTATTGATCAAACCTCTGGTAGAGTGATTCGAATCACAAGTTTCTTTACTCTTGATCTTGATCATCAATTACTCAGTGACATCCTCGATCTTGATCATCAATTACTTTCTTTCTTTCTTTCTTTCTTTCTTTCTTTCTTTCTTTCTCTGAACGTTTAATTCGACAAAAAAGTATTACAATTGACTTTGATTATATTCAGAATTAAGTAAAATTAAAGTTTAAGAAAATGTACATGGAAGAAATATGGAGAATGTTTTGGCGAGCCTTTAATCCACTTTCTCGAGCTCCCCTATTGATTGAATTCTCTTCATAAAGTCTTCCTTGCTAATACTCAGTAAGTAGTCCCACGGTTGAGGTTGGAAAATGCAATCGCATGCAATCATAGTTCATGGTTTGACTTATCTTTTCTTGATTGTTCTTTGGGCTTTACTTTCTCTCTCGGAGTAGGGTTGGACGTATAGTACTTCTCTACCCATGGTTCACACATGCGCACATGAACCACTAGGCAAGCCCACATACCCTCTAGGCTTGGCTAAGGGATAGCATATGCTTACGTTGTCAGAAACCAATAGAGGGAAAGGATCAAGTATTATATCATGTTGTATGCTAGAGGGAAAGGATCAAGTACTATATCATAGTGTACACATCCATACTAAGAATTTTTGTTTAATCTACCACACCTAAATGATTGAAAGTTATCTATTTATAATCAAATAAATTACAAGGATATGGAAATACTAATAAATGGAAGTGACAATAAATGAAAAGATACCTATGGTATTAAGGCAAATATCTAATATTTGCCTTATAATAAAATATCAAATATGATATATATGGTAAACTATAATTTAGAACTAAATATCCTTAACATCCCCTCGCAAGCTGTGCGTCGGATTTGAACGAACGTGAAGCTTGGATCTGAAAAATTCAAAGAGAGATCGAGAAACACTTTTCGTGAAAATGTCGACAACCTGGTTCGAAGGAGGCATAGAGAAACACTTTCTTGGCCATCAAAAACTGCAGAGGGATCGACGCTCAGCGGCAATGCTGCCTTGGCTTCGGTGAGAATTTGTCTAACCCATGAAGAGGGATCATTGCTCAGCGACAATGCTGTCTTGGCTCTAGTGAGAATATGTCTAATCCAAGAAGTAGAAGGAGAAACCTAGAGCAAGGGACAAAAACAATGTTAAAGCCGGAAGAGTCGCCACAATGGGCGAAGGAGCCAATTTTGGCGAGAAGGGCAGCGACGACTTGGTTGGCGAAGAGGCCAGTGCGGCACCCAGATTCCAAAGGTAAATCTCTGCATAAGGTCGATAGGCCTATCGAGATTCAATATGTTTTCGAAGAGAACGCTGATGAGCATCCTGAGATTAGGGTTTCTGTGAAGAATGAAGGGTTGATTGGGAAGAAAATGATAGAGGCTATGTTGGCTAAGGGAAATTCTTTGAAAGATGAAGGGTTGATTAGGAAGAAAATGAAAGAGGCTATGTTGGCTAAAGGGAAAACCGATTGTGTTGGAAAAGGTGAGGTTGTATGTACAGAGTATGGCGAATGGTGATTTAGAGGTCAAAAAGGTGGAGCCGAAGAGTAATTAATCGACTCCACTTGGGGCCGCCATGGAGATTGCCCCTGCGGCGTCAAAGCCAATAGTAGTGGTGGAGAAGAAGATGATTAAACAATTCAGAAGCCATTGAAAATAAAGGATGGTTGCTAAACCCAAAAGGCTCTAATACCACGAAGATATTTGCTGAAACCACCGCACTTAAATAGTGTGAAAGTTCTCTATTTATGATCAAATAAATTATAAGGATATAAAAAGAGTAATAAATAGAAAGATACATATGTTAAAAGAGCAAATATCTAGATATTTAGCTATAATAAAGTATCAAATATGATATATATGATAAACTATAATTTAGTACTAAATATCCTTGACCGTACTCAACATAATCTAATTATTTTTCCTTTAATACTTAGAAGGCTTTTTTCAAATTTCAAGATATAATCAAGCATCAAATGGAATTCCATCGACTTGCCACATCCAATAGTTTTACATTCAATTTTTTTCTTACTCAACACAATCTTTAAATTTTGTTAGAAATGGAGTCATGCAATAAGTCCTTCATTCATAGTCAAGTTAATTATGTGGGCATAATACCTCATGGGTAATATTTGTCTTCTAAGACAAGTGAATTCCAACTTCTAAGTCTTCTAATAATATACGAGATAGCTCTATCATTGGAACTTCCATTATCAACCGTGATAGAGAAAACCTTATCAATCCCTCGTTCCAATAAACAACTCTCAATCATCTTGACAATAGTCTCTCTTAGCGATTTAATAAAAGTTGAGAATTCTTTTATGCAAATTTTATTATGAATCAATAAAGTGGGTGGTGTTTTCGCATTTAGTAAGTTTTTGAATGATTGAATAACATGTATTCCAATTTTGAATTGTGTGTTAGGGATTAGTTGAATAGTTTTTTTTCTAAAAATTTAAGAATAACTTAATTTTCTAAAATATTATATTACTTATAGATATAATTATAGGTCATATTTATACAAACGGATAATGAAACGTGATATTAAATAGCCATCATCTGATTTAATATATATATAAATTTATTGCAATTCTAATAATACACGCGCGTTATAATTTTGACCATATATAACAAACACCGGCGGTTTTTAATTTCTAAAAGCAAGCAATAACAAAATCGTCCACAATTTCATTTTAATATAAAGAATAAAACACAAATAAAATAAAAAAGGATAAGCACCAAGTCAAATGTGAGATTCTTCAGGTCAAAAGGCCAAAATCTTGAACGTTGACCATTCCACAATTGTTCAAGTCAAAACGCGTAAAAGGCCCACCTTATCTTATAATATCACATTATAAATAGGTTCATCTCCACTCCCAACCCTTTCATTGCAAGCTTTCAACTATGAAAATGGCTAACAACTTGGGACTATCCTCAATCCTCTTCTCGCTTCTCTTCTTCTCTTTGGTATGTTCTTTATGGTTTAGAATTCCTTTCATTTCTTACCAACTTTTTTAATTTGTGGATATATTTAAATTTCAGATCATTGAAACTAGTTTGGGAGCTCGTAACTTGAATGAAAATGTGTTAGATTGGGTGAAGAAGGACCATCGTCGTTTTCTTCGTGCTGTTATTCATGTCTCTGATCTCGACCATTCTATCAAGTATGTATCCTTTTCATTTTAGTTTTGTTCAAAATGGTGTTTCCTTTATTGAGGGTTGTTGGGAGGGAGTCCTACCATGACTAATTTAATGAATGATCATGAGTTTTTAAGTAAAGAATATATCCCCATTGATATGAGACCTTTTGGGAAGTCCAAAAGTAAAGCCACGAGAGCTTATACTCAAAGGACAATATCATACTATTGTGGAGAGACGTGATTTCTAATATGGTATCAGAGTCATGATCTTAACTTACCATGTCAATAGAATCCTCAAATGTCGAACAAAGAAGTTGTGAGCTTCGAAGGTATAGTGAAAAATGAAGTGTTAAACAAAGGCTATATTTTGTTAGAGGACTCCAAAGAAGGAGTCGAGCCTCGATTAAGGGAGACTGTTCGAGATCTCCATAGGTCTCAAGGAAGGATCTGTAGTATACTTTGTTCGAGGGGAAGATTGGTTGAATATTGTTGGGAGGGAGTCCCACCTTGGCTAATTTAGGGAATGATCATGGGTTTACAAGTAAAGAATACATCTCTATTGATATGACGCATTCAAAAAGTAGACGATATCATACCATTGTGGAGAGTCGTGACTATCTTTTGGGAAAACCTAAAGTAAACACATCTTGGTCTATTTTATAGAGTTTACACGCGAGGCTTTGGAATGAAGCTTTTGAAGAGAAGGAACTTTCCAGATCGTGGCTATAAAGATGCCCTTGTTGGATTTGGACCTCAAAACACCCACTTTTTGTTGGAACTCAGACAAAGTGAGTAAAAAAGATTTGGTTTTTTTGTTCTCAATCCATTTTGATACACAAAAATTATGACAGTTTCATGATTCCATTTGTTGCAGGGGATGGATTGAGCAATGTATTTATAGGTACAGAGTTTGGGCACTTTGGAATTGCTACTCAAAATGTGGGTATTATTATTTAGTGGACCAATTTTTCATAATTTGAGTGTCTAGATCAGTTCATTAATGGACTATTATCCATGAGTTGTAGGTCTACAAATCTGTGGAGCAAGCTCGAGCAAATGGCGCAGTGGTAATTCATGAACCCGAAAAAGTTAACCAAACTATATTCGCATTCGTGCAAGATCACGATGGGTATAAGTTCAAGTTCATCCAAACCCCCTCACCCCTTGACCCTCTCTCCCCAATAATGCTTCGTGTACAAAATTTGGATCTCTCCGCCAACTTCTACTCAAAGGTACACACTACATTCTATAATATAAATTTGTTAGGAATTACGGACCTTCACAATAATATGATATTGTCCACTTTGAGCATAAGCTATCATGACTTTAATTTGGGACTCACTCCCAACAATTCTCTTCCCTCGAACAAAGTACAATATAAAGCCTCCCCTAACAATCCTCTTCCCCTCGAACTAAGTACAATATAAAGCCTCCCCTAACAATCCTCTTCCCCTCGAACAAAGTACAATATAAAGCCTCCCCTGAGGCATATGGTGTCCTCAAACAAAATAACACCGTTTGTTTGAAACTTGAGTCACTTTTGACTACACGTTCGAAGCTCACAACTTCTTTGTTCGAAAGCTGAGGATTCTATTGACATGGCTAAGTTAAGGGCATGACTCTAATACTATGTTTGGAATCATGACTCTCCATGATAGTATGATATTGTTCCCTTTGAGTAATAGCTCTCATCACTTTGAGTTGGGCTTATCCAAAAAGCCTCATGCTAATGGAGATGTATTTCTTATCTGGAAACCCATGATCATTTCTTAAATTAGCCAATGTGGGAACTCTTTCTCAACCATACTCAATAATCCTCTCCTCGAACAAAGTACACCATAGAGCCTCTTCTGAAGTCTACGTAACCCGGATTTCTTAGTGTTCTATCCAATGAAAAATTAATTTGTGCAGGCATTGGGGATGAAACTCTTTAAGAGGCAAAACAATTCAACAGGAGAGGTAAAATAAGTTTATTATTAATTATTTTTCTTAAAGTATCCCTTATAAAATGAGTTTTGTAATTGTTAATTGTTATTTTTTACAGTTTATATTGGCTACATTGGGCTATGGAACAAACCAAAGTAAAACCACATTGCTCGAATTGGAAAAAAGAAATAACATCTCTCGTGATGATGGACGAGATGGCTATTCAATGGTAAACCCTTTTTCTTGTCAGGAACAGACTCTTCATAATAGTATAATATTGTCCACCTCGAATAAACTCTCATGATTTCGCTCATACCAATAGAGATGTATTTCGTACTTATAAACCCACGATCATTCTTTAAATTAGCCCTACCTTCCCAACAATTCTCGACATTTCATTTTATTTTTTTTTTGTTTAGACTTGAACCCATATCGGTGTATTTTTCAGCTTTATATTAGTACTGACAACGTAAACAAGACGGCTGAAGCTGCTAAAGTGGTAATCAAAGAGCTTGGTGGGAACCTAATCATGGAGCCAGTTTTGGTGCCTACCATTAACGTCAAAATGACTGGATTTACTGACCCAGATGGGTGGAGAATGGTAATTATATTCATTTCCTAATTCCTTTGGTTTCTTTTTAAACTTTTTTTATTTCCTCTATTGACCTTTGTTTATATCAGATTATGGTGGACAACAAAGATTACCGAAGAGGAACGCTTTAGAAAGAAGGGGTAGAAAAGAGAATGCTCAAATCCATGATATCATTATAATATTAACAGTTTCTTCTGCCTTTACTGTAATATTTTCACAATAGTAATTTTCAGTTCTTGATTATGGGTTGTTGGTGTATTCTTGAGGAAATGCAATAAAGTTTATATTATTCTTTTATCATTTTCTTTTTTGGTTTATGAATGAAAATTTTTATTTTTCTTTTGTAATGCAATTTATATACTATGAAGATAGGTATTTAGTTGGGCTCATTTTACAATGTTAATTTCTATTTTATTAATATCAAATCCTAATTTTCATTCATAATAATTATTTGTTAACAACGTCTTAAATATAATACAACTTAAAATAACTAAGATATATTAAGTGTGAAAATTGATCGGGGATAGTCAATGTAGACGTTGTAGTCAAGTTAAGGAAAAAAAATTTTAGGTCGGCTTCTACAACTCAATTTGGCTACCGTCGATTTAGTTTAATCATTTTTCGTTGTTTTAGAAGCATATTTTTACTCAATTGAGACTAGACTATTGGATAATTTATAATATTTACAACTGGTTTTAGGATAATTAAGAGCGAAATTTGGCTTTAGAAGGTTGTTGTCCTTGGACACGTTGTATCGACAGAAGGCATTTTAGTAAACTCGACCAAGGTAGAAGCCGTTGGGATGGCCTCATCCCATCTTAGTCATAGAGGTCAGGAGTTTCATAGTGGTGATGGGATACAACAGACATTTCATTCAGAAAAAAGATGCATTGCTTACATAGTTAACCAAGACTGGTAAACCATGAATGGCAGCATGTGAGAAGAGCTTCATAGAACTTAAGAAGGAGCTATTGATGGTGCTAGAGCTCATAGTAACGGGCAACTTGAAATGATGTCTTGGATTAAGGCCTAGGATGGGTCCCAACGTAGAATGAAAAAGTAATAATTTATGCCTTCTGACAATTCAAGGTGTATGAGCGTAACTACCCAACTCATTATTTACAGTTAGTAGCGGTAGTATTTAGACTAAAGATATGGCGACACTATTCGTATGGGGAGTAAATACAAATATACACCGACCACAAAAGCCTTAAGTATCTATTTATTTAAAAGGAGCTTAACATGAGGCAAATGAGGAAGTTAGAATTGGTTAAGAGTTATGACATAGAAATCCTCTCTAAGGACGGGCTGACTCAATGACTCCAAAGAGATGGGTAAAATTTTTCACAAAATAAAACAAATCGGATTTAAAACATAACATACATTATATTTATATTATATTAAAATAAAGTTTATACAAAGTATTTAAAACACAACACAACAATTAAAGTACAAAATAAGAAACGACGCAAGATAAAAGGGGCTAAAGGACGATGAGTGAGGTTAGTCTATGGCATCAGCTCCAGAGTCCACTCCTGACCTCGACCAACTTCCTTATTACCTGAAAAAATTGGAGATAAAGGAATGAGTACAAAGACTCAATAAGCAACCTACTTGTAGACTCTTAATCGTGTCCTTGATATGCTAGGATACCACACTCTTTCTTTTCTTGTTCTTGTCGTAAGTTCTTGTTATGTTTCTTAATTCGTTCTCAGAGACACTTCCCTTAGGATTTACGATACTAGTCATAAACTTGTCAACCTGTGTCCAAGGCTTCATGCATTCCAAATAACAGTCTTAAACCTACGCTCAAGGCTTCATGCATTCCAAGCAGTATAGTCTAAGTCGTGAACATGATGTACCGTGGGAGGTCTTAGGAGGTTCTTGATTCTTGGCTAAGGTAACTTACTCTCTTCTTGTTCCATTGTGGCCCTAGATTCCTCCCCATGATAGACCATAAAGGTCATGTGATCTGGCATAGACCATATAGGTTGCGTGATCGGTGCATACATGAATATGGCATCCTGCAAATTATTAGATACCCATACATGGCGCAAGGCATCTCATCTAGGTGAGGGAAACATGAGGCAAAACATGACATCCTGCAAAGGAAACATGGTGCAGGGCATCCCACCTAGAAGCGGAAATATTGGCCTCTAAAAGCACCACGTGGTGGGAGGTAATGGGTCACAATTGGACATGCTTAGAGTATTACCTAGCATTCTTGAATTTTTGTGTCTGAGGACTTTCGTCCTTTATCTTTGAGTGATACCTAGCATTCTTCTTACTTTGATAGTTGTAGAGCTTGTATGGTTCTGTTCTTAGTTCTCAATCTTGTAATTTTCTAAGGTTCTTATTTTCTTGAGGCTTAAGTTGTAACATGCATTCGTAATCATATGAACCCATTATAATAGTTAGCCTGTGTTATTCTAGAAAGCCATAAATTTATAATGGACTCCTTAGAGGGTTCTAGAATGGTCTTGATTCTTGGGGTGTTTCCTTTAGGCATTTTCTTGAGTTCTATCTTGGTTTAGGTTCCAAACTTGCTCCTATCAATTTGAAATCTTGAACTTATCCTCATGTCATATAGAATACCCCTTATAGAGGATAGTTGGTAATTTGGAGCATGTCTCGACCTTGAGCTAGGATATGACTACTTGTTTCGTTTTCAAGAACTAAGCCTTATAGGTTGTTATGTCATGCATCATGTTTTAGCCTTGAAAACTTTTTCAAAGTAACCCTTAGTTTTCTCTCCATGAATGCATAGGTGGCGTTGTCATAATCGTGGCATCCTACTGACAAATTGTGGTGCCGGACATCTCATTTAGGTGAGGGAAATAATAAGTCAATCATGGCATCCTGCTCATTGTACATATAAAAGGGCATCCCACAGAAAGAGGAATAGGGGCCTCGTGGTGTCCTTCATGATGGGAGATCATGGTTACTTGGAGTATGGATCCTAGCAACTTGTTAAGCTCAATATTTGCATTAACCTGGGTATTTTCTTGGATTCTTGGTGATCCTAGGTTTTATGCATAACGTCTTGGGTCAAGCTTGGAACTTATAAGTTCTTCTTAGGAATAGCCCAATATGATCTTATACACGTACAATCTATTAGCGACCAGGGGTACATGTGGGGAATCTCTTATTTCATGGATACCTCGTTAGTTATCCTAGGAGGTCAAGTCATGTAGATCGTGATGTACGTTTTTTCCCATACCTTAGTTTCGCCACCTAACGTTTTCCAATGACTCCCAAACTTCATTAACTTTATACAACCTCAGAAGGTAAAAATTTCTACAACATTTCATAATGCTGGGAGGTCATTTAGGGCTTAACCCATAGGTAGTCTTCTTTAGTGGCATTATGGTCATTTTACCCCCTAATTCTTGGTTTTGCTACTTAACAAGTTCCAATGGTTTTCAAACATCAACACATCATCACAAAAACATAAATTAAGATCTACTACAGAGTTTTATAGCATTCGGAGGTCATCTAGGTCATGAACCGAAGGTGGATTACCTTAGGGGCATTATGGTCATTTTACACCGTTTCTCGGTTTACCTACTTATCCTTATCTAATGACCACCAAATTTCATATATAACCTCAACATGCTATAATATGCTCAGCATTAAAATTTCATAGGAAGTAGACTTCATCTAGTGGGTTATTTTAACGTTACTTAAATTCCAAGCAATTTGGTCGGTTCAGGGCCTTAACTCACAGTTCTTTGAGTTTTTCTTTCATATATCCTTAATTCATACTTGGTTTAGGGTTCATATAAAAATCTAAGTGATTCCTACTAGTATATATTAACAAAAAGTCCAAGGTGGCTACTTACCTCGTTGTCAACGTTCGAGACCTCTGTTCTTGAGCTTCTGATATCCAAATTATTTTAAATTTCCCTCCATAGACTTCTTATTGTGTCTATTTTCTGGAACTATAATATTTTCCTTGAGAACCGATCTAGTCACCATCTTCTTCCTCTGGACAGGAAGAAGATGCGCGCGTCCGTTCGCGGCGCCGTCTAAAACTCAAGCTCCATAGCTCCGATCACATTGTTTCTCACCTTGATTTCTTTATGAAACTTAAAGATGGTGTTACAAGGAAGATCTTGGGATTGATTTTATACCTTTTCGTTGATCATAGCCTAAGATATTCACCTCCAAATTTCGTCCAAAATCAATTTTCTTGCCGGAGCAAAAATAGGAGATTCTTTATTGGGCTGCCGATTCTAGGGGTTTTCAAGGCCCAATTTCTTCATGGAACCTCTTCCATATCTTTTCTTTAAGCTAAAGGAATTGTTTTAGAGGAATTTCTTTGAGTCTGTGTCTCCAATTTTAGAAAATCGCTCTCGGTCTGCAAGTTACCACACGCACCCTATTTTCGATCTCTTGGGTAGCTTGTTCTACGACGTTTCTGCTCTCGTTTCCTTCATCAAAGTTACTCAAACTCTTCCTCTGAAGCTAAAGGAATTCTTAATTTGAAGGAAAAGAGACCGTAGATCGGTATTCGGCTCTTACCCCCAATTTAAGCCCAAAATTGATTTCCTTCAATTGGGTACACTCCGAAGGCTATTTCTCTTCGTGGTTTTCTATGGAAATACTCCTTGGGGGTGTAGAAACTAATTGGATTGTCCTTGCTCGTTGAATTATCTTGTATCCTCGAATTAATTTTTTTTATTTTTCCTTGAAACTCTTGAATGGCAGATTGAATTAGGGGAATGATTTTTGGGAACTTTTAGCACTCTATTCCTTCATAGACGTTTCATAGACGTTGTGGGGTAATCTTGTTTAGAAACAAATGTAGGAACAAATTTGAAGAGAAATGGTGGAGCTCAAATTTAGAAGAGATACGAGAGTAGAAGATCCAAAATCTAAACGCTTATTACCTTCGTTTGGGAGCTTGACCTTGCTCGATTCTTATTCCATATGGTTGCTCCAACCTCAGACTTTATAGAGTTGCTTAAACAACATTGAGAGCTCCAGAATCGTTGTGATTCGGAGATTAAAAGTTCTAGATAATTCGTCAAAAACATTAGCTCCGATAAGAGCCTTACCAACTTTGGTTTTGAATACTAGCCGTTGGATGTGATGATCTGTACGTGTTCGAGATCATATCCAAATTTGGAGGAGATCCAATGGCTA